TACACAACGTGACGACATTAATGGAGACTCACGTTCAGCCCGTTTGCACATAAGAAAAGTTAAAGTGGGAGGTTAACCTCACGATATTACATTAACATTGCTGCTAACAGTTACTTTGGTTCATGCTTGTCGTACACCTACATCCTTGTGCAAGAAAAAAGCGGGGTCACTCACGCTCCCCACACTATCTTAAGATGATCACTCCTTCCATATGACCTGAGACATACCGACTGCTGAAAATCATAATTGATCTTCAAATTGATCCTAATAGGCGAATGGTAGATTACGAGCGTGTCAAACATATTCGACGGAATTTGTAAAAGAAAGGCGAAAAGACTTAGTGCCAGGTATTATATGATATCGATGTTTTGGGATTCGCTGCGGTATAGTAATTCAGTCCACCTCTCAATACGCAAGATACTCAAAATTTCACAAGTGTTTGTTTGTAAAGCACATATATAATGGGAGCATGCACCGTCGAAGCGAATTCACAAATCCTTTCTATCTTATCCATTGGCCTTCCGCCCTCTCTAATGATATGGCCAGCATGCAGACTGGTCAAAACTTTCTCCCCAGAGAAACTCTCGACTGACATGGACTATAATTAGCTGCCCCTAAAGGAACGGCCTTCGAAAAACAGTTTGTGCGCGCAGATGCCAAAAACGCTCACCACAGACGCTACACGTCATTCATGACGTTAGTTTGAGGTGTCTGCAAACGTCCATCTGAAGCACGGGGAGTCTTCTACAATGCATGCGATGTTAAGGCGCATACACCGGCCTTGTAAGCTATAATCATTTATGCGCAGTTGGGTATACAGAAAGCAATTCGCGGTTGTAATGTACATGCCATATTAATCTGAATGCTGTAATGCCAACTAACACCATTGCTGAACACGTCGTTGCTTAATTGGCTTACTTTTTTACTTTCTCCCGCAAATTCTTAACAGTGGAGATCTAATTTACCGGGGCCAGGATTACGTTGTAGTTGCTCTTTATCTCTTCCTCTTAATTGCAAACCTGACATGAACACATGTTTACGCACATGTAATGAAGTTATTCCTTCTGTGAAGCTGCACAGGCATGCATGACATAAATGAATACAAGCATGACATTGCAACGATCTCATTCTATATTCGCGGCTGGCGTCATCTTGGACTTTTACACGTGAGATTTCTTAGCTGTGTCGTGATGTCAAGTTATTAGGATCATAGAGCGTCGAATACGTCTGTATAGGTGCTATTCTGAGCATGAATGTTACGGTATGTAGTTGACCACTCATTAGCTACAGGTAAAAAACGCCAACGTTAATGGCGCAAAAGGTTGGCAATTGATAATTTCCGGAGGTTATAAGAACATGGAGGGGAAGACGTAGTGACGTCATCCGCGTCAGGTTACATCCTCATCGGTGAACAACGGGTATGTGGGAGCGTTTTTGCTGCATGTCTTAATGTTCCTGTTAAATTTACCTTGCCAGTTGGCCGCCACGAGTTCTGGAAAATTAGCATTGCTTTGTGTGGTAGTGCTCCAGATGATATCATATAGCCTGCGGGGTATGTCGCCTCGCGCACTTAGCTGGCACCACTTGCAGCACGAGACCATTCCCTGCAACAGGCATGTGTCACCACTCATTGAAAGTCTTTGTTTCGAAGAACAGTCCTGAACCGTCTTCGTAGGGCAAGACACTGTTCAGTCTGGTCTTTGGCAGTGGACCGCAGGCCGCATTCGTTATACCCCACGTTACATGGCAGACCACATCAGAGAAGTTTCGGCAATTGCACGTCGCCTTGTTGAAGGCCCTGAGATGTGTGGCGCGACAAGAACCTACTTATGCTCGGGGTGCAAACCTTCTATTTTACTGAGGTATATCAACATTCGCTCATAAGTAAGGTGTGTAGGCCATGCATTATAGACATCTAATACTGCTAACAACTCTAGTATATAGAACGCAGTTATATACTAAGTGGCGGATAAACCATAACGGGCTATGAGATAGCGAAGCGCCTATATGTATACAAAGCCTACAGGCGATTTGTGAACTGCGCGAAGACGTGGCTATATACACCGTTGAAGCTCTCTTACTTCGGGCTGCGGCCACGCTTGCTGTATCGCAGGTGGAATTCATTCGTGGCGTCTACGAGTTAACTGTAAAACAGAAGGCAAACAAATGTCGTTAAGATGGAAGCGAGGTATAGGAGGTTTAGCGGCGTTTGACTATTAAAGAGACTATGGCAGGATCAGTGTGCGTATTCACGAAATGCCCGCATGCGGTATAGCAGTGCGTTATAGAGCGTACAGATACCAACCAATCGCGATGAGGGACAATTTATTAGCGAAAATGGACCGACCAATGACCAAATAAAAGAGAGAGAAAGAAAAGAAGAAAAAGGAGTGCACAAGTGATTTGTGTTAAATATTTATCACCCGGTACACGTTGGTTGGTTGGTTGGCTCTTATAGATGTCTGGCGCAACCCACCATGTGGGGATCGGCTGTACATGAAACAGGCTGTACATTATCTTATAACGTTATTTCACCAGCCGAATACGTTTAGATATGGTGTAGTTTGCACGTTATAATGAAACTCCGTGTGATCGATCCGGCAACCTTAATTTCGTGGCATCTCCCATGTCTTACTGTGCCGCTGATGTGGAACGCTTAAATGTTATATGCGATCGCTTGTTTTGCTGCCTTTAAAATGTCAGTTCGAAGAGCTTAAAACACTGACTGAAATATGCTGGACAGCCGCGCGCATTTTACAATGAATTTGCAGTATTTTTTAGGCTGAAATACGTGGCGCAAGGTTGACAAAGAGAAAAAAAAAGACGAGACCAACTAGCCCAACATAACGTACTGTTGTGCAGTCTTTCCACTATCGCTCCTTGTGTGTACACCTTTACAGAGAAAAAGAGAAATAAAGACATATTAGGGCCTTTTTTGAGAGCCCTTATATGTCACGTACGGGACTCTCTTAAAAGGGACAAGTCAAAGCTCTTTGGTAGTGATTGTATACTCTCTTCAGAGTCGTGTGACTCGCAAGAGTGTAAACGTGCCTCTTCAAAGCGAGTCATTACGTGACGTAGCCAGGACTGAATGAAATCGGTCACACATACATCAGTTTTTTTTTCTTTTCCTGACAGAGAATACGTGCGAATCGGCATATATAATTTCTTCGGGGTCAGACTCTATGCACTCCATCTACGGAGAGTATGGAACTGGGACGCCTTATCGAAGATGCCACTCTGGGCGTGGCGTAATCACAACACGCAAGCATCTCCGCCTGGCGAACTGCCGTGAGACAATCTTTAAAAGCACCCATTACGTTCGCACAGCGGCCGGGTGGTCAAACGACCAGCGTTTCCCCCTTTTGATAGTTTCGTTCTCTGTTCTGCGGCTCACATGGAACACGTCAAGTGCGCTACGCCATTCGGTTTTTTTTTACGCGCTTCCCGTTACAAGACATAAAACGTGTCGTGCCCGATTATATGGCTTTGATAACGTCGCATGCGTGGGACGTAGGCGTGTATATTGTAAGTCGAGCTTTTCCGACGCTTCTCGCTCGGCGCGCGGGCCATGCCTACATGGAGCGGCGGAAACGTTATCAGCGGAGCGATTAAATGGCAGTTAAATGACGACCTTGTCGGGCCGGCTAAATACGCTTGTCTCCCTTTTGTCGCCAGTCGTCTCTTTCTCTCTCTCTCGTTACAGCGGCTGTCAACAGTGCGATGTGTTCGTTTCCGAGCAGTGTTTATGTAGTGACTGCTCCGTAGCTGTTTATGACGGCATTGTGTAAGCCACGCCCGCTCATGAATTTATTATTAGCCGCCTCATTTTTTTTTAATGAGAATCGTAACTTATGACGAATGAGGCAATTGTACGCCGTCTGCGTCTTAAATCATAGCTGAAACGAATGCGCGAGAATTTTCGCCAGGGTATCGTTTGTGGCAAGCAACTACAGGCTATACAACTGCTGGTGACTTACTACTGGTTTTGTATTTTTTCAAAATGGCGCAGTGCAGTGAAAGAGGATAGATTTTTCCGGTTTTATTTCCGAATGAGATGCTTTAGCATGATCAACATAAAGCAGGAGGGGGTTCTCGGTAGCGGCGCAGTTAAACGGTTGTAATGAGAGGGTTGTTAAAGTAAAAAAAAAACCGCGATTTACCATTTAAATGGAATTGGCCACCAGTGAGACGTTGTGAGGAACGCATAATCTGCGAGAAGTGACTCACGCGAAAGAGCTTCTCACCAATTTTACACCTCTCTCGTTTTTTTTTCGCCAGCCTGCCGACACTGTTTACACTCTGTAGTCACGATTTCGAAGTCTGAAAAATGCGGGCATACAATTTTTCTTTTCGCATAATAAGTCTTAGCGTGACGCCTTATGTTTCGGGCTTACAACGAAAGAAAGTTGTGATTTAGTTCTTAGAGATTTATCTCGGAACAAAATTAGGCGTTTCAAAACGCACACAAATGAAGAGAAACCGATAAGTCAGACAGAAAAGATCGTGATGCCCGTTTATACTGACTTGTGTCTCAGCCGGTATGCTTAGCTTTTTTTTTTCTCTGTCTGTGCTTACTGCTTATAATGACTTTTATATGACACGACTAAAATCTCCGCTGAGCGTTGAACAGATTGTTGATTAAGAGACTGTGGTCGACTATGGTTCGGGGCTGGCATCGTAGAACATGAGTTTTTCGGTGTGTAATAGAGCGTCTCTCATAATCATAAAGTAGTTTTGGGACGTTAAACCCCACATATCAATCGGTGTGTAATAGAGTAAGACATAGCTAGAAATCCACGTTTATCATCTGTGTCGATTGCTATGTCGCGTCCTATTACGTGATGAAGAAACTACGTTCCACAAGACTTGTTGGTTGTTGCGGTGCATGATATAGCCAACTATAATTGTGCCGTGCCCGAACTGTTGTAGTATATGAAAGGTCCCATGTGATTCCCGTGTGCCCACTGACCTCGTACTTGCTCTCTTGGCCTGTGCAGGTGCGCCCCAGCTCGGTGCCGTAAGCGCGGCGATGAACGGCGGCCTCTACGAGGAGAGCCGCTCGAGCCTCGAGGCGCCCCAGCCGCTGCACATCCCGGCCAAGCGGCTCTCGTACGGCCAGGCCGACTGCTCCGCCGACCCGATGGCCGCCGGCGGCGTCATCCGACAGTCGCCCTGGGCCTCGCCCTGGCCCGGCGCCGAGGCCGCCTTCGAGGCGCCGCACCACTACCAGCAAGGAGTGCGCGACTCGGCCAGCTACTTCTACCCCGCGGCCGCCGACCGCAAGCCGTTCAACCTGTGGCCCGCGGCCGCCAAGGGCTACGAGCTGGGCCCGACGGCCGCCGCCGACGCGTGCCAAGCCTACTCGCAGGCCTGGTGCCCGTACCCCACGGCGGCCGCGTACCCGGCGCCGCAGGCGGCCCGCGTCGTCGAGCCCAGCGCGGCCGCGTACCTCCAAGCGGCCGAAGAGCAGCAGCAGCAGCAGCACCGCGTCGTTCCGCCTCCGCCTCCACCGCCGCACCCGGCGCCGCCGCCGCCGCCGCCCCGCAGCGATGCCTTCGCCGCGGCGTACTCGGACGGCTACGGCCTCAGGGCGGCCGCCGCGGCCGAGGCGCACGGACCGCCGCCGTACGTGCCCGTCAGCACCGGTGAGTCCCTTGCCATTGCCCGCCGGTTGGTCGGTTCTCGCGCGAAGCACGTGCCACGCTCGTCGACGGTTCCTGCGTGGAGAGGAGGACACGCGCGTTGTCTGTAAACACCGCGTGGCCGTTGCTAATTAAAAAAATAAAACTGGGCTCTTCTTTCCGACGTCCAGTTGGATAACGTGTTTCAATTCATCGCGAACGTTACCGTTTAACAACAGCGCTGTCTGAAGAACCAGTTGTTGTGTAACTTTGATAGTGAAGACCATGCGATCCATTTAGGATCTGCAAAGAATCTGTGCACTGTAAGAAAAGGAGGTGGTTCTTTTACTCCTTTTCGTCAGCCCTCACTTTCAAAACGTAATAGAAAGATACACATTAACTCTTTTCGAATAATAATTATGTAATCACTCTGGAGTATTGTAGGCGGCGTGACTCAGCAAGGTAGAGGTAACATATATCTCAAAAGGTGTGGCCCATATAAGACAAGTCAAGACAAAGCAGAAAGACTAACAGGTATACTCTTTCTTTGGAAAGTATTTAGTGAACGCGTCGTCGATGCATGCGGCCACACATCTAGTGCACTCTTAGTAGTAACAATTGTCTAGCTCTTCATTGTTTTACGTCTATAGACGTCGTTTCGAAGGTCCACAATAGACACTGCATTGGCTGACGATAGATGCGTTACATAGTTCGGTGCAATGCCTACAGCGCCATCACATACAGAGGCCAGTAGTCACTTTAGTTAGGGCATATTGTCCTGCGTATGTCAACGTTCTTGACAGACAGACAGACAGACAGACAACGAACTTTATCTTAACTTGTATCTGTAGAAAGAAGTAAGAGAGGGCGCAGGGAGAAAGAGAGGATAAAAAAAGGGGGGAGGGGTAGATTCCTCTTTCTAGAAATCGATATAACACGAAAGGGAAACGTGTCTTCACAGAGGTAGTTGAGCGTCTATTGTGCATCGCTTCTCCACGAAGGTGAAGGAATGAACGCAACAACAACAAATTGCGAAATAACGTGAAGAAGGGCAGACATCTCGAAACTTGCAGCGCGCACCTCAAGCAGAAGGCAGGTACGAAATGAGCGTATACACAGGACGAGCGCGGACGTAGTGCAAAGACGCACGAAACGAACGCACACGTATACACAGGACAAAGTGCGAACATCTGCCACAATTCTTACTTCATCGTGTGTGAGCAGCTTGCTCCTTCTGTAAACGCGGCCACGGCAGCAAGCGAAGTGACCTTTGCGCCCTCTGGAATCACGCGTCTGGTGAGCGCGCGCGCGCAGGAGTGACCACACTCTTTGGAGTTTATACTCACTCTACCTTGGAAGCGGCGTTCAACGGAATGCGAGAGGCGACCACCTTAGTGCGCCCAACTCGAGCGTGCAGCGTAGCGCCATCTCGCCACAACTCAGTCAATCCATCTATACCTAAATTCCTTTACTGTGATATCATAAGCTCTAATGTGGAAGTATTAGTATAGGATATACGTTGGCCTTCCAAGCTTGCTTTGCGTCAGTTGTGTCACCAGCTGGCGCCGTCGTTTTATTTTTATCTGTGCTTTGTGTTTCCCGCTGGCAGTTCAGCATGTACCGTCTTGCCCAGTCCATCCGCTGTCGCTTTGTGGTAATCGAGTATTATCTACAGTGAACTGTATGTAAGCGCACGTTCATGCTGCCGGCGCTTTCGTGAAGGCCTGCTTGCAGTTTCTATATATAGTAACCAAGCCTGTTCTTCGATGTTCGGCCTGCCCGCGTGTCTGCATGCTGTGCGACCTGCTCGGTTTGCGTAACGCTGTCAGCACTCACTGCTAATGCGCCACACGTCGTTTTCACAACGCGCTCGTCGCGGTTTCGTCAGCGGCCACGCGTGCATGTGCCAGTCGAAAGATAGCACGGAAAGCCGTTGGCTCGCATGCAGATGACCGGTCAGCCGGCCCTCTTTGCGGCCGTTTTTCCCATCACTGCATTCGCGTACGGCTCCTGAATGCACTGGCACGTAGATAACGCAGAGAAACGGAAGCAACGAAGGATGGTTTCTTAATCTGCTCCGGGAGCGCTGTGATGAGAACCGCATACGTGACGTAAGGTATGGGGTGCGAACCGGTGCTGACCGTATATACGGCTTGCAAGTGGTGGCACGCGTGTATCAATGTTCGTGGCCGAACACTTTCTGGTACTTATTAGATCTGACGCGATAAAAATCACACCATATCCACGTAGTGAATTACGATGAGTGGGCCGAAGCGTTCCGTCCGTTCGTGCTTACTTTCGTCCGTCCGTGCGTGCGTCTGTGCGTTCCTCCGTGCGTCCATCCACGCGTCCGTTCGTCCATGCGTGCGTCCATTTGTCCGTGCGTCCGTCCATCCGTGCGTCTGCTTGTATGTCTGTCTGCCCGTGTGTCCGTCCATCCGTCCGTCTGGCCGTCACGCCAAGTACCGCATCTTTTCATCATATTCATCTTATAGAAGTACTCCCATCCAGCGGATATTCAGAGGACTAAATGAGACGTGGCTACCTACTACTACTACTACTGACTACTACTACTACTACTACTACTACTACTACTACTACTACTACTACTACTACTACGTACATCCTACATACCTAATACTACCTACTACATACATCGCGGACGCACGACCCACGGCTTGAGGAGCTTCGCCCCTAAAATAAACACTTTTGTTATCCTTAAGAGAAATTGTGGTATACAGAGCGTGAAAACAGCCAGATATTTGTGACAGCTTTAGAGCTTTTAGCTTGGCTACGTGTAGCAGCAACAACCAAACTTGGGACAATGCCCTCGGTGATAAGCTTATGTGGTTATATGGCGTTCATATAGTGTTTAGAAAGGATAATGCTTTCGAAGTGATGGGTTTTCGTGGTGAAGGTGCGTGTATTTAACCCTGAAGAACCAAGGAATGAAGAACTGTATAACCATTGGTGTGCGCACGAAAGGGGGGGGGGGCAAAGGGGGTGCCCCCTCGTCGCATTCCAAGAGGGAGAGGGTGCAAAGTCTGCCCTATACGTTGACCTAAAGTGCGGGAGGTGTTGCTAGCGATTAACTAGAGTTACTGTAACGCCACCTTGACCCTAAGGGTAGCATATTTACTAACTCTACGATAAACCTTCGCCCCCCCCTTCCCCACACCACAGAAAGGGAAACCCCGCGCACGCCTATAAGTACGACTCCAAGCGGGATGCGTATATGTGAAAGACGCTGTGCATCAGCTGCTTCGACGTCTGGTGAGTGGTAGTGGTGTTATTTTGTCCAACGTTTTTTTTTCTTTTCTTTTGCAAGCCGGACCGTGTAACGCAGATAACAGGCATTGCAGCTTCCACGCTGATCCACGTCAAAAAAAAAAAAGAAAAGAACACAACGACAACAACAGAAAATCCTACCTTATCGAAGAGGTTCGCCGCGCGACACGGAAACTGCGCCGACCGTTCGTTTATCTTTATGCGTCCGGCCACTCCGTTCCCGCCAAATACCTCCGCACGCGCATGCGCGGTAGACCTGCAGATGCCATCGCATGATCGCATTCTGCGCCTCCGTTCGCGCGCCGTTGCCCCGGGCTGTGTTAAGCAAGCCACGCGTTAGAGCATATTACGGAACGCATACTCACCTATATAAAGGAAGTCTCGTTTCTAAACAGTTGCGAATTATTTCGCAAACGGAAAAGTGCTCCAAGCTCTGGCTCGTTCAAATAGAGGACTGCGCCCGCAGACATTCACGCGTGTTCATATGCGTGAAAGATAAGATAGCAGGAAGTGCCTGGAGTTGCATCATTCGAAGCTGTATATGTCATTGTGTCAGATGCTCAGATGTAGTGCTATTTACCGTTCTAATGGATTACAGAGTGGAATAAATGGTAAATAAGGAAAGGTAGGGAGGTCAACCAGTGCAGGATAACTGGTTTGTTACCCTACACGTGGGAAAGGTAGATTGAAAAAGGAAGATGAAAGCGAGACAAAGATAGCACAGCTCACACACAAACACACAGTCAGTAAGGGCCGTTCCACGCGCTTCCCGCACAGCCGCAACGCACGTGCCGGGACCCCTGCCGCACGCAAGCGGCGGACAAATAAGCCAATTGGCGACGCTCTCTCACCCTCCGCTTGGGTGCGGCAGGTGTGCTGGCACGTGCGTTGCGGCTGTGCGGGAAGCGCGTGGAATGGCCCTAACAATGCACCAATCTGGCCTGGAACGGGGCATCACTGTCTCAGCCGCTCGACCAGGTCTCTCTTCCTCAAAAACATCAGCAGTTCATTGGTCGCCTTCAGCTGCGATGTTCTTAGTCGACAACATGCAAGAACAGATTCCACAGACGTTTGTCTATCCTCAAGGTGCGCTATAACGGATGCAGTGACCTGAATTAAGGTCATCCGTTTTTTTTATCGTATTCCTTCCTCATCGGAATGGCGGACAACGCTCTCTATGATACCTGACGCTACGCCACATCCCCTGTGACTGACCGCTCTGTAACGTTAAGAAACAATGCATTACAAGTGACAGCGCACCGCTATAGGCTCGAGTGCTAACCTGAAGGTCGCGAGATCGACTGTCGGTCCGGGCGGCCGCACTCCGATGGAAACGAAATGCCCCCGTACTTAGATTTAGATGCACGTTACAGAACACCGGATGGTCGAAAAAGCAAGCATAGTCATGTATAGTATAAAGGGTATTCGCGTGCCGTCATCGCGCTTCATTTCGTTGCACATTTCGCAGCTTCGCTGTTCTCGAGATAAGCAAATCAAGATAAGAATTCGTGCCCTTCACTGTGCTTTCTGCACCACAAGATGGCTGCCGCAATGACGTCGGTCCATACTTCCTATAGGATAGCAAAGGGTTGAAAAGAGACAGGTGAGGGATTAAAAGCCTAGCCAAGTCAGGACGAGGTATATGTGCAACAGGCGAGTGGTTAGAAGCCTAACCAAGCCAGGACGAGCTAAGTGCGGCTGGTGAAAGGACAAAAGCCTATACTCTGTTTCAGTAG